TAAGTACTAATATTATGTTTACGCAATTACTAATAGTATTGTTAGAATGAAGAATTACTTTGTAGAGTTTTATTTGTGTACTTATTTTAGATTTGTATTGGAGTTAGGAAATGATTGATGTAAGCAAGATTATGAATGTATGTTTGAATATGTTCAGAGCATAGATAGTTGCATATTTATATAATTGTATGATTTGTGATGCAAAATAGATGTGTTGGTTGTTATGTATTGATGTGAATCAATTATCGTTGCCTGTATACGAGTAATTTTTATCGTGCTTTATGATGTGTTATTATGTTATGATTTTACATTTTGTTTACCATTCATGAATGTATGAGTATTTCGGTGGGAATGGATGCGTGACCCATGAAATTTGATAGCCTTATCTAATGATAAGTTATCTGGGATTAATGAGAGTATGTGCCAAGCAAAATAGTACACCTTCCTTGTGTTTTATAGGAAGCTTTCCGGGTGGGATAACTTCAGTTAGAAGGAGAGTCCCGAGAGTCTGAGAGAGAAGACTGCATTAAGACTGTCGGTACAGTCAGGGTCGACGGTTCGACGAGGAAGTCGACGGAAAGGGAAGTGGAGGTGGAGAGGAAATTCGAAGGAGCAAAGGAGGAGTAGAAGTGGAGAGGAAAGTCGAAGGAGTAAAGGAGGACTGCAGGAGAAATTCAGAGAGACAGATGAGTAGAACCAAGGACAGGGCGAAATTCTCACACTGATCCAGATGATGAAATAGGCACAAAAGGGTCGAGCGATTGGGAAGCTCGCATGTTGAAATTTTATTATTAATTAAATTGTTTTTATTTAACTCACCCCTTTGTACTTTTGTATTTAATTGTTTAATTTCACCCTTTAGTACTTTTGTATTTAACTGTCGGCATTGCTGACTGGAGTCTCAGAACCATATTCACCTACTTATCTTCTGAACCATAATCGAGCCTGGGTGGGTGTCATACCTAAATAAATATTGGAAACACCCCACCCCATTTTCATATAACCAAAACCATAACACTCTAGGGTATAAATAAAAAAACCCTACCTTAACACAGAATGATTCGAGTCCCAGTAACAAATAAAGACAAAATTACATCAAATTAAAAAACAACAAAATTTGAAAAGGCAAATGATATAAACATTACATTTCGAAAGATACTCTCTTTACTTTTTATTAAACTAATTAAGGACATTCAAAATGCAGATAAAATTATAAAATTAGCCGATTCTATTTAGGATAGAATCAAGTCATCATTTAACCGAGTGAGAAAATTGAATAACACTGCCTTGTATCGATTCATAACCTGGTGTTTGATTCCGTTCAAATGGTCCACTCAGTCTGTTTCTCTGGACTCTCTCGCACTGGTAAGTCCTTTTTGCTCTACTTTTCTTTTTTTTCAAAATTCTTGCTATCTCGCTTTTTTCCGTTTTTTCTCTTTCCTCTCTGTTTTATTTGTAAAACGTGTCTCTTCCCGAAACTATCTCACTTTGTCAAAATATAAATGAAAGCAACCTAAATCTTCCGTCACATCATACGGAAATAAAACATTAGTCTCAACCATCAAGGTCAGATGTAATTCTACCGGATTCAAATAGACATCGATGGCTTTCTTGACTAATTAGTCATATCAGAACATACGAACTAGTTCCACAGACTAATGGTCTGCTAATTGAAATTTACATCACACCGAGACATTAATTCCTTACTAGTCTCCTTACACCAGAATAAATGAAATTCCTTAACCCTACGTTAGTGTTACAGATACACATAATAAACTCGTTTGCATAATTTCCACGGCTTCCCATAATATCTATATTCCAACAATTTGACAATTTCTATATATATATATATATATATATATATATATATATATATATATATATATATATATATATATATATATATATATATATATATATATATATATATAATATCACGGTACGAGTTAAGATAAATGAACTCAGCAGTTATTGTAGATACATAGTTCCCTATATAGAATAAGCATGAAAGTCTGGATTCATAATTTCCTACAATAATCGAGACCATATCTTAGCGACCCGTCAACGTACATATAAAGATAAACATTATTATGCGGATTTAGATAAACGAACTCAACACAAGTATACCATATCAAGAAAATTTATCTACAACTTAAACAAATAAATCTCTGCAAATACATGCAAATACAAGCCAAAAAATCAAAGAAATCATCATAGTATCAACGACTTCCATGATATTTATACAAATACCTTGTTTCAAGCTTTTGATGTTTTTCAAATCGTTTAGGCAATCGTTTTCCCCATGGATGGTTTTTACGAGAAATGTACTCATCAAATTCACGGAGTCGCTCAAGGTCTTATCTTATGTCATTTTGCATTGTCATTCGTGGCAATACAATGTTTCCACTTCACTCGTGAAATATCTCTTTATATCTACTAAATGTAGATAACCTACTTATTTATTAAATGTCTAGGATTTACTGTGAACATTGTAAATGTGTTTGGTGTTTTTTTTAACATCGCATGATATTGGAATAGGACATATCACGAAATAACATGCACTGTCAAATATTAAGGCTAATTCTGATCTTTTTTGCACTTATTATCATCATTAGCATAACTATTCCCTGAGACAACAAATAAACAATAGATAGATTGATGGATTTTCATGGGTAATATATTTCATAAGACTATACATTATCATGTTTGGTTTAGATCAGCCAAGATATATTACAAATAAATCTTCTATGCTCGTATCATTATGTTATGTTTGTTACGCATAATGATTTATTTATTACGTGCTAATCTTTTTCTTCTCCACTACCTTTACATGATCAGAATTGTACAGTATTTGTTCATAGTTAAAGACACATCTGCCTCCTTTTGATTGTAACAAATAGTGTACACTCATGTAACAGACCTTTGGATTTATTAGATTAGTGTGTTGATGAACCAAGCAAACACACTCGCTCACTCCCTCCTTTTTTCCCTCCCCCTCCCTCCCTTTTGCCCTCCCTCTCTCTCTCTCTCTCTCTCTCTCTCTCTCTCTCTCTCTCTCTCTCTCTCTCTCTCTCTCTCTCTCTCTCTCTCTCTCTCTCTCTCTCTCTCTCTCTCTCTCTGATGACAAAGGATGCAAAGGCATCTGCTACAGTGAAGTTAATTGTTTTTGTCAGTTTGGATACCAGAACGTTGGCCACATAGCAGTACCAATGTTGTTGGTCGTGGATTGATATCATATGTTTTACAGAGACGAAGAGGAAGAAGGAGGATTAGTTCTTTTTTGCCTCGGAAGCTCGAGAAAGGTCCAGAAGGATTCTAGTTTTCCAGTTAACTTTGTCACTAGGGGCACCTCATTACTCCACGTGAGGAATTACGGGACGTAAATTCCTTTATTCCCAAGTCTCCATGTCAATCAAAGAACCCAGGCTCGCAAACATTATGCCTCTGATTGCCTCACGCTCAAGCATATTTGCTTCATTTTATTTGGGTTTGTTCAAAGTGCTTTCGCAAAGGTTTTGAAAGGACCAGGAGATTGGTTAGCAACGTAAGGGGTGATCAGTTTTACGCTGGGACCTATGTCCCTTTAATCTTCTCCTAATGGGCCTTGGAGAGTTGTAAGTGTGATTTTTTGTGGGACCTGGATACACCTTCCATTCATTTCGTTGCAAGCGTTGGAACTTGCAGTTATATGTTCCTTGTCACCACGTTCTCGCACATCTTACCTTTCTCGGCATACTCCTGCAGAATTCTGAAGGAGGATTATTTGTTTCGAGCACTTACTGAAAGTGGCTGACAAAACTTTGAGGCATGACTTGTAAATATCTATAGCGCAGAATGTTACTCCGAACACTTCTCAAGTTTTTCTAGATAACAGAAAGATCCATTTAATGGCTTCCTTGGTGGTATGTACTTTTTCCTAGGTCTTATTCCTTCCGTGGCCAATCGAAACCAGCTAAGGAGCCTGTTCATTTAGATCACTCTCAGGGTCTTCAGCGAAGTGCTTTAATTAAATATAGACTAAAGCTCAGAAATAGCCCCAATTTTAGTCTCGAATTCGTCCGTCGGCGTCGCAGGAAACGTTTGTTTTTATGGTTTTTAACGACACTTTTAGTACAATATTGGCTATATCATGCAGAAGAGGTTGACGCGACGTGCCATTCCCAAGGCAGCCGACCAGGGCTAGCCTGGGCTGGTATCGAACCTACGAACTGTGGAACTCAAGTCATAGTCTTGACCAATTGAATAACCGGAAAAAGAACCAGAAGAAACTTATGCAGGCATTCTCTCTTTTCTAAGAAAGTGGCAACAGCCATGATGACTCTCCTTCTGCTGTGTATCCCTCTTCCAACTCTTCCGGTAGGTGCTGGACTGGGCTGTCTCAGTCGACTTTTAGGATGCGTACATACCCATTAAAGTTATTCCAATTCACAGGAAATTCCTCTAGCTTTTCCTGGGCCAGAAAGGTTTTCAATTTCGTGTTCTCCAGTTCGGCAAAGCCTCAGCACCCAGAACCTTTACCAGAGTACTAGAGTAGCATCCGCCAACCGGAGGTCCCTGGAGATTGTTATCTTCCTGTATTTCCATGGCTGGTTGATCATGCATGGCCCATTAGTATCCCACAGACAAGATATACCCGTTACTCTTGCAGGTGATCTGGTTGGGACTCATTTTAAACCTCGACAAAAATAGGAGCCAGTTTCACATGTGGGTTTTGTATAGGTGTGGATGAATTGTGTGTGTGTGTGTGTGTGTGTGTGTGTGTGTGAGAGAGAGAGATTTTTAACGCCGCTTTAACAATTTTTCAGTTATATAGCTACGAAGTCAGCAGCGTGACAGTCTTTAGTAATGTCTAGCACTGGGGCATCATGCCGCAGACATATGTCATGATGTCCCAACCAGACACTTTATCCTGACACCAAACCAAACAGTCCTAACACTAACCTCTTAATGCTGAGCGCCAAGCGAGGCAGCTGTTAGTACCAGTTCTTAAGTCTTTGGTATAACTCAGCCGGGGTTCTAACCTACGACCTCCCGCATCTGAGTCGGACGCCCTAACCATTAGGACACCGGAGCGGTGAATGTTGTTACAAACTGGGTATTACTCTTGACATAACAGACATAATTATGTGTCTTTAGAGTTGCTGCAAGCTAAAGTTTTGTTGTCGGCAGATTCGATGTGTGTGCGTATATATATATATATATATATATATATATATATATATATATATATATATATATATATATATATATATATATATATATATATATATATATATATATATATATATATATATATATATATTCTTGTGAGAACGTTGACCCTGGCGCCAGATTTGGTTCTCCTAGAAAAACTACCTGCATCTCCTCCATTTTATTCTGGCATATACGACAGAGCACATTAATTCCATAACAGCTGGAATTTCTAAAGGATTCATCACTCGAATCAGTGAACAAATCGGGATCGGTTTCTGACTGGAGTTCCTGTATATGCATCTGAACCTAACACCTGTCTGTTAAGAAACCGATAAGATTTGGGGTTGAGGGGTTGCTTGGAGATGGAAGGCGTAGTTCTTCAGGGTTAAAAGTCGGGAAAACAACTTTCTTGCACATTCAAAAATTTGGGAAATGAGTGTTCTTTTTTTAGTCCTTTCAGGGGTTATTTGGGCAAGTAAGGAGTCACTTGCCGATAGTCTACTCAGAGGTTTGGAATCTCTTTTACTTGGCATCCTTGCACTGGATTACCCTCCATGTTATTCTTACCATGGCAGAAATACAATTGTTGCGGACAGACTGTCAGCTAATCAAGGTAATCCTCATAGAATGGTCTCTGTTCTAGTCTTTGAGGCTTATCAGACCCTTATTGAGTGGGACCTTATCAGATCCTTACTGAGTGGAACCTCATCAGACCCTTACCGAGTGGGACCTTATCAGTCCCTTATTGAATAGGACCTTATCAGACCCTTAATGAGTGGGACCTTATCAGTCCCTTACTGAGTGGGACCTTATCAGTCCCTTACTGAGTGGGACCTTATCAGACCCTTACTGAGTGGGACCTTATCAGTCCTTACTGAGTGGGACCTTATCAGTCCCTTACTGAGTAGGACCTTATCAGTCCCTTACTGAGTGGGACCTTATCAGTCCCTTACTGAGTGGGACCTTATCAGTCCCTTACTGAGTGGGACCTTTCATTCGTGAATATTAAAGTCTATGATGCTACATCATGAGCATGTCTTACTCATTCGTCGTTGTTAGATGTTATGAAAGACGTATTATGGCGGCTGCACACTATCTTGTTATCCTTCTACTGTACCCGTACATTATTTAAAAAACTATTTATTCGTACAGCTAGAGAAATATGAATATATCTGATTTAAGTCACAGAACTATGACTAAAAATGTATAAAGGCATTTCTTGATGATGTTAGATGAACATTAACTTGTTAATTGCATTTCGTTCTTTGATTCCGACGAAAGACAATTAAACTATTCCAGTGTGTCATTCTTCTTGAGTGCCTGGGGAAAAATCGCCTTATCTTTATTTACGTCCACATTGCGTGTCAATATCACTTTGCCAAGTATCCCAGGTAAACTGTCTTTTACGGAATCAGAACACAATTAATAATTCCGGTTCAGTACCCACGAATATAGTTTGAGTCTATTTTTGGATAATTTTTTCCTGTCTCCGTTTAGTGGTGATACAAGAGTTAGATTTTGGCATTCTTGGTAAGGATTTAAATGCAATTGTTTATTCTTTATAATGTGAGATTATGGTGGGTGTTTCGGCGACAGTGCACATTGAGTAATAAGGCAATGGTGATGATCGGTGTTCCGTTGCATGGTGTTTTGTTTACAATTCAGCCTCTCCAAGAAATGCAGGTCAACCCTTGACAAGAACTTCACCGTAAAGTGATCTTTGAAAGTAGTTTAGATTAACATATGATTTGTATTGATTGTCACACAGTGGAAAGTTCAGTACTGAGAAACAAATGTAGAGACTATATAGTAAAATTAATTGTGTTCTATGGCCTGTCAGCAATGAATTTGAGTAAAGTTTAAACTGACATAAAAACCTTATTATTAATGATAGACACATGAAATGTTAATATGTTATGTATATTGACTATAAAAATATAAAATTCAATTAAAAATAAGACAATAATTTTAATTTTAAAAATTTAAATAAAATTAAAAAAACAAATTTAACAATAAAATTTTTCCACCAAGTATGCACATATATAATATTTATTGGAAATGATATTAAATGATATCAGCATGTATATACTCCTACCCCATATACAAATACAAATGATGGATATTTGTAAAATTTTATCAGAGAAAATATCTTTGTTATTCAAAATGAGACCCTCATTTAAAATACACGAAGATAAGATTCTATTTGGCTTTGTACCTTTAGGTCATTGAAAATATTTTTTTTTGGTCCAAACAGTTACTTTATGTGTTTATGATGGGATGACTTCCTAAGAAACAAATATCTGCTTGTATATATATATATATATATATATATATATATATATATATATATATATATATATATATATATATATATATATATATATATATATATATATATATATATATATATATATATATATATATATATATATATATATATATATATATATATATATATATCAGTAATTGTTTATAAACATAGTTATAGGGTATTTAGTGAGATGCAGACTTTATACTTGAACCTGCTCAAGTTCTTTACAAAATAATATTAAGGTACCATAAAATGAAATACAGGTCAAAGGGATAAAATATACTTTATCCAGGTATATTTACCATTGCATGTAAAAAAAACCCCCAGCAAAATGATGTAAGTTGAACACAGAATGCATTCCATTTTATTGATTAGTTTATATAAGATATTGATTGATGTAGTGCGGCATTGTGGCCCAGATGATATGGGAATTCTAATGATCCATTTTGCTTTATGCATTATTAATTACTAATAATATTTGTTTACTGACACTCTAAAGATTACATAAGAAATATTCAAACATATTTGTCTTTAACTTTGTAAAAATAATCTTAAGATGGCTACATAGCTGATATAAACAAATATGCATATATTTTGTAATGTTTGGGATCAAAACTTGAGATTCAGTACATCATATAGGCTGACATAGTACCTATAGTGAATCTGTAAGGCTCAGTTCAGACTGTGTGGACTTCAAATATCCCAAGATGTTATTTTCATCATGAATATGCCTCTGTGTGGTAGCACATTTTAATTTAGTACTTTGACAGAGTGCGGTATTGCAGCATCAGCTGATATCTGATTCCAATGAATCATTGAGCCTAATAACTTGGTAGCCAACACTGTAAAAAATATACTAAAAATGTTCAAACGGATCATTTGAATTATGTTTGCACATGTGATTTTAACAAGTACATTGCATATGTCCAACACATGCAAATGTCTCTCCTTGTTTACAAGTTTTCGGGATCAAAATTTCACATTTAGTTGATGATATAGGATCTATTAGTACCTATAGTTGATCTGTGTGGCCACATTTAGCAGTATTCAATCACAATATCTTAAAATTGATTTTTCTTCATGCATAAGATTGCATATAGTAATAAATTTTAATTTGGTACATTGTCATTTGATTTTCCAGTATACTGGTATGTATTAATGTATGCACCAATGATCAACCCTCACCGTTCCAACATTGCCTTAAACTTTATGATACATACTCTACGTTATTAGTTATTTGACCTGTAAATGGATAAATATGCTTGTAGAAATTTTATCTATTTTTAGAATCCATTTATCATTTTAATACATAGCCATTGCTTCTTATCTCTGAGTGTCAAGTTTACCTTTTTTACCCATATTTCCAACCTGAATGTTATTTTGCAATCACCTTATGTAATACATTTTAACTTCATTTGCCTACATATTACTGTTTTATAGAATTAAGTGAAACATGTTATATCTTTTCAGGTCTAGCTTTGTATCTGGAACAAAGTATTAGAGTTGGATCAGCTTGGAAGCTCTCCAGTAGTCAGGTGGTGATAGCAAGGTCTCATAAGGACATGTGCTGTGTGCTGCTATAAGTGACCAAGATGAGTTTATATCAGCACACTGATAAACAGCATCTTAAAGACATGGCTTAGATCTTTATGAGATCATGAAATCTCCAGTAGAATTAAGATCAAATGCATTTTGCTGTTCTGTGAATATTTGGAATTTTCTTGAACTAAACATACAACAATTATATTCTTGCAATAGATTTCAAGCAAATAAACAAACAACATAGTGTATTCATCAGAGAGATGTAAGGATTGACTTGTGTAAAAATGAAGTCGCTAATATGAGAGAGAGAGAGAGAGAGAGAGAGAGAGAGAGAGAGAGAGAGAGAGAGAGAGAGAGAGAGAGAGAGAGAGAGAGAGAGAGAGAGAGAGAGAGAGAGAGGATAGTGGTGCGTGGGTCTACAAAATTCATACAAGTTAAAAAGTAAACAAGACATTCATAGACACAAAGACAAATTTAATGCATGAAAAGACTATATTGTAAACCACGCTGTTTAACCTGTACATAAAACCAGCGTGATCAGCAATTTAAAAACAATAAGGCACATACTTTATCATTGTTCCTATTGAGAGTTAAATGTATATTCACCTCTACAGTTAGGTATAACATGACAGTCGTCTTTTGTACACCAGAATAGCAGATCCGTTTTAAGGCATAGGCTCGCGAGGCACGTGCCTAGGGCTCCGCTCAGCAAAGGGGCCCCCAGAACAAAATTTTTGTGTTGGTTGAGTTAGAAGTTTAGTACTATATTAATAAATTTAACAAAATGACACACATGCACATGGGAATGCAATGCAATACTCCATATCTGAGACTGAGAGACTAAGACGCAATTCTGGTTACTTTTAAGGTTAGAGTTTGTGCCTAGGACCCCCAGACTTCTTAAAACGTCTCTGCATCATAGTCTTTAATAATATATGTATGCTTTAATTTCTGTCAAAGGAACCCTTAGGGACTTTGCATGTATAGGAGAGATAGCATATTGTCTACACATAAATACTTTAAAATGT